AAGGAGGAGAAGAAGGGGGGGAAGGGGGGGCGATTCCCAAAAAAATCAGAATTCCAATTTTAATCGGAAGAATATCATGTCTGAACCAATTAACAATGAGTACCAAGTACCATAATTTCGCAAGATAGAGGCAACCTGTCCATGGCTGTCAAAACCACAGCAGTTTGGCTAGAAAATAAAGTCAAAAAACAACTCACCTGGGAGCTCAGCTGCGCCCCACAGCTCTTCTTCTAAGGCTTTGCGGGTTGTGGCTTTTCCCTGGTACCGCTTATCAGCATCCAAAATCCGAGAGGCAATTCCTTTCCGTATTTGACCAACAGAAAGGACATCTTCATCGAGGCTTCCTTCATCAAATTTGTCGATCACTTTGGCTGCCGTAGCTGTACAGAGGAAAAACCGAGTGCTGATTAGTTTGGGTTCCAGGTCATCCAATCTCCTCCTTTCTCATCGACCCTTGTAGCAGGATGCCATGGGTCCATCAATTCAGCTAAGCTTCACAAAAAAGCACAACGAAGAATGTTCTTTCTGCGCCAACTCAGAAAGCTCAAACTGCCCAAGAAGCTGCTGATCCAGTTCTACAGAGGAATGATTGAGTCTGTCATCTGCACCTCTATAACTGTCTGGTTTGGTTCTGCAACCCAATAAGACACAGACTTCAGAAAGTAATTAGGGCTCAAGAAAAAACAATTACTACCAACCTGCCTTCAATTGAGGACCTGTATACTGCACGAGTCAAAAAGAGCCCTGCGAAAATATCTACAGACCCCTCACATCCCAGACATAAACTATCTCAACTCTTACCCTTAAAATGATACTATAGAGCAGTGGCCCCCAACCTTTTTTGAACCAGGGACCAGTTTCACGATTATTTATTCTTCCACGGACCGGTACCTGAGTAACGCGAGACTCCACTGCCATCAGGATGGCTCTTCATTCGAAGCCGCCCCACCCTCTTCGATGAAACTAAGGCGCGAGCACCCAAACGCCGCTTTCCAACTGAAAACCCGGAAGCACTTTCCAACCGAAAACCCGGAAGCAACCAAAAACCCGGAAACGCCATCGAAACAAGATGGCAGTGCCCAAGCTTTGCGGCCCGGTAAAAAATGATCCACGGACCGGTACCAGTTCAGGGACCGGTGGTTGGGGACCCCTGCTATAGAGCACTGCACACCAGAACAACTAGACACAAGGACAGTTTCCCCCCGAAAGTGACATATGGCTGATTTTCACTAAATGAACTGTTGTAAGTTGAGGACTATTTGTATTAAATTATTAAATTTGTTTGCCACCAATCACACTGCAATGAAGCCTTCCTCTATCAAAACTTTGTAAAATTACTTTCAAGGTAAAAAAAACCTTGACCTGCATTGCTGGACCTGATATAAGATCCTTTTTTTCCCCCCTCGCTTCCCAGGAAATCATAACAAACTTTTCCAATCTAATATTATAGTGTTTAACCACTGAAGAAAGAATTTCACTTTGGAGAGGCAGAGCTGCTGACTCTTAACTGGTTTAGACACAAATGAATTTCACTCAAACAGGGGAGCCTCGGCTGATTAATTTCAATCGTGCCAGATGAGTTGTCATAAAACATCCTATGATTAAAATGCCATTTAAAAAAAGGACAATACATGCATTTGTCCCAGCCAGCGTGATTTGAGAAGAGTCATCCTTCTTCATGAGAACAGAGAGAAGAGGCCTCTTCTAATAAAAGGCCTGACCCAGCCATTTTTCATATTATCTTTGTAATATCTAGGTATCTTTGATAATCAGCTGCCCAATTTGCTAATTAAAAATAATGAACCTTTTAATCTAATCAGCCGTCAATTAAACACTGCAAATCTGAGTGATCTGCCCACGACCCAAAGACCAGCATTTCACACCAGGTGGCAGCAGCCAATCAAGCTTGCTGATCATGAAAAAAAGGTAAGAGTTGAAAATGGTTAATATTTGGATGTTAGGTCATCAGAAGGACTCAAGGCCTGGAGTAGAAAGTTGAAAAATAAACCTTCATACAATAAAGAATATTTACAGCTCAGGATTGAAATGAGGGATCCTTGGTGCTCTCTGAGCTTGGTTGTTTTCTTGCAGACATTTTATTACCCAACTAGGTAACATTATCAGTGCTAGAAGGGCATGGGGTTTGCAAACTGATGTTATCTAGTATGCTGATAAAATGTCTGCCAGCAACCAAGCTAAGAGAACACCAGGACCTTCTCATGATACAAAGCCAATTCCATGATATTACTCCAAAACCTACACGGCCACCCTCATGAAGTCGAGCTTGATATAAAATAAAGTTTATATTTCTTTCTACTTGTGTTTGATTGATGCATTCTTAGTAAGAGGTTTGGACAGCAGTGGTACAGTATGTTAAATAAATTACAGGTAGTCCTCGCTTAACAACCATTCATTCAGTGACCATTCAAAATTATGATAAATAAACAGTTTATTAAATTTGTTTGCTACTCAACTCACAAGGAAATTGTGATTGTGCTGCTTAACAAAGGCAGTACTGGTAGTCCTCAACTTATCACCACAATGGAGTCCCAAGTTTCCTGCTAAGCAAGACAGTTGTTAAGTGAGTTGTGATCCATTTTATGCTTTTATTAAGTGAATCACAACAGTTGTTAAGTGAATCACACAGTTGTTAAACAAACCCAGCTTCCCCCATTGACTCTGCTTGTTGGAAGCTGGCTGGGAAGGTTACAAATAGCAATAGCACTTAAGACTTACATACCGCTTTGCAGCCCTAAGCAATTTACAGAGTCAGCTTCTTGCCCCCAACAATTTGGGTCCTCATTTTACCCACCTCGGAAGGATGGAAGAGGCTGAGTCAACCTTAAGCCTGGCGAGATTCGACCTGCCAAATATCAGGCAGGCAGCAGGCAGCAGAAGTCAGCTTACAATACTGCATTCTAACCACTGCGCCATCATGGATCCTAAGTGCTCTTAATAGCACTGACAACTTATATACCTCTTCATAGTGCTTTACATATGACGCATGTGATCATCATTTGTAACATATGATCTCGGGACAGAGCAACTGTCATTAATACATGTCAGTTGTCAAGCACCCAAATTTTGATCATGTGACCTTGGGGATGCCACAACAGCTGTGTGAAAACTGGTCATAACTCACTTTTTTTGAGTGCCTTGGTTCAGTGCAATTCACTTAATGGATGGTTTTAAGTCGAGGACTACCTGTACTTGAAATCATGGCTGTTGCAGAGCGTAGCTAAAAGTCTATGGAGATTCTCAGTCATCCATGTCGTATGTCCCAAAGGTGCTTTTTCAGGAGGCAACTGGACTTTCTTGTTTTGTTTTAAGATGTTTCACTTCTCATCCAAGAAGCTTCTTCAGCTCTGACTGGATGGTGGGGAATGGAATAAGCTATACAATTTGGGATGAACACCCTTTGAATGGTGTGGGGGTATGAACGGATTTCCAGAAAAATTGCAGACTACAGGAACCATTTACGCTACTCAAGTGACCCTGATGAGGACACAGATAAACCTCCTAGTCCCTCAAGGACTCTCTAAAAAGGATGCAAATGACCAGCTGTCTGCAAAGAATATAAATCCTTCCATTCCCCACCATCCAGTCAGAGCTGAAGAAGCTTCTTGGAAGCAAAACATCTTTAAAACAAAAACAAAAAAAGAAAGTCCAGTTGCATCTTGAAAATGCACCTTTGGGACAACCATGACCAGGATGACTGAGAATCTCCATAGACTCTTACTACTCTTATACCAGGGGTGGGCAACTATGGCCCTTTTATGAATTATGGACTTCAACTCCCAGAATTCCTGAGCAAGCCATGCTATACTAATCGATATAATCTCCAGGGAGTTTCCAGGGAATGGCTATTTTATTTCTCTTGGTGTGTTCTGACGTTTTCCCCCAAAGGAGAAGACAATAACCCCAAAACCTAGCCCAGCCCCTTCAACTGCCCCTTCCCTATAGCCGTGTGTGGGAAATCTAGTTCCAGCCATACACCATGTTTTTCCCCAATTCTTTCCCTTTCATACCCAAAGATGCTTTTTTTCAAGAGGCAACTGGACTTCCTGTTTTTTTTTCTTTGAAGACGTTTCGCTTCTTATCCAAGAAGCTTCTTCAGCTCTGACTGAATGGTGGCGAATGGAAGAATTCACCATTCAGTTAGAGCTGGAGAAGCTTCTTGGATGAGAAGTTAAAACATCTTCAAAGAAAAGTCTTAGTGGACAACCAGCTAAATATGAGCCAGCAGTGTGCAGCAGCCGCCAAAAAAGCTAATGCAATCCTAAATTGCATTAACAGAGGGATACAATCAAGATCAAGGGAGGTACTAATACCACTCTATAAAGCCTTAATAAGACCAACACCTAGAGTACGGCATCCAGTTCTGGTCACCACACTATACAAAAGATGCTGAGACTCTAGAGAAAGTACAGAGAAGAGCAACCAGGATGATTAGGGGACTAGAGACTAAAACATACAACGAATGGTTGCAGGAACTGGGCATGGCTAGTCTAGTGAAGAGAAGGACCAGGGGAGACATGATAGCAGTCTTCCAATATTTGAGGGGCTGCCACAGGTAGGAAGGGGTCAAGCTACTGTATTTTCTAAAGCGCCTGTAGGCCAGACAAGGAATAATGGATTATCAAGGAGAGATTTAACCTGGAAATAAGGAGAAACTTTCTGACACTGAGAACAATCAACCAATGGAACAGAAGTTGCCCTTGGAAGTTGTGGGAGCTTCATCACTTGAGACTTTCAAGAAGAGATTGGACTGCCATTTGTCAGAAATGGTGTAGGGCCTCCCACTTGGGTGGGGGGGGTTGGACTAGATGACCTATAAAGTCCCTTCCAACTCTGATTATCTGTTATCTGTTAAAAACCAAGAAAGTCCAGTTGCCTCTTGAAAAAAGGCAGTTTTGGGACAACCACGACCTGGATGACTGAGAATCTCCATAGACCAGAGGTCTCTAAACTTGGGAACTTTAAGACTTGTGGACTGCAAGTCTCAGAATGAGAATTCTGAGAGTTGAAGTCCACAAGTCTTAAAGTTGCCAAGTTTGGGGACCCCTGCCATAGACATTTCCCTTTCACACGTACCCATCACCTCTTACCATCACAAGTTATCCATCCCTTGCTCAACCTCAAATGGGAAGGCACCGACCGACCCCTTCCAGGGCCAACATACGGGTTTTCAGCACATAGGGTGAGGCAGAGTTCGAAACAGGCGCCCCCCCCACCCCCAGCTCTCCTCGCACACAACACGTGTACAGGGGCGACGTCGGAAAGCCACGTGGAAACACCATCCTCCTAACATTTCAACCCAACCCCCCTTGAGGAAGCGAAACCCAGCTCGGGGGCTTCCGCACCGGCCTCGCAGGCGAGCCCTCACCCTCCTCCGGGTCGTCCTCCGGGTCAGGCTGGGCGCGGGGCAGCGGGTTGAGGAGACGCTCCAACTCCGCTGCTAAGGGCGCCGCCATCTTGTCCCATCAGGGGGAGGAGGTGCCTTTGGCGGCGCGAGGGGCGGGGCCTATCTCACGCACTCGTTAGGAAAGAGGCGGTGGGCGGAGCCTCGAGGCCCCGCCTTCTCCGGGTCTTCCTTTCCTCGCGCTCTACGGCCATTGAATAAAATGGGGCACCTATTGATATATTTTAATGGCAGCGCCTGTTTTATTTTTTCCCGGGTCTTCGTTTGCAAAAGGAGGGACGGAACCTGGTAGCGGCGGGATTAAAGCCATCTTTGGCGGAGGCCTTGAATTGCAGAGTGTCCCGGAATTCGAGATTTGTAAAGCACGGGGTTGCTGGAGGCAGGGAAGTGCAATGGGAGCAGCAGCAGCTCCAGGAATAGGTGCAAAAAACGGAAAGGAAAACACTCGTGTCAAGGCTGCTTTTATACAGGTAGACCTCGACTTAACACAGGGCTCATTTAGTGACCATTCAAGGTGACAACTGCACTGAAAAAAGCGACTTATGACCATTTTTTTCCACACTTACGACTTTTGCAGCATCCCCATGGCCATGTGATTTACAGTCAGATGCTTGACAACTGACTCATGTTTATGACGGTTGCAGTGTCCCAGGGTTATGGAATTACCCTCTCTAGCTTTCTGACCAGGAAAGTCAATGGGGAAGCCAGATTCTCCTAACAATCGTGTCACTCACTTAATAACTGCAGTGATTCACTTAATAAATGTTAAGTAAAAGGGGACAAAACTCGCTTAACAAATTTGTCACTTAGCCACATAAATTTTGGGCTCAATTGAGGTCGTAAGTGGAGGACTACCTGCATAGATTTTCCTTAGAAATTTCAAGTAGTCCTCAAGTTACAACTGTAATAGAGCCTGCCCTTTAAGGTCTTCAGTCGTTGGTCATAAAGTGGATTAGCCTTGTGAGCAACCTGATTTTATATCCTTTTTTTTGTGGTAGTCGTTAAGGGAATGTGGCAGTTATTAAGTGAACCAATGGGTTGGCTATGTGCAGATTTTGCTAAAAACCAAAAATAAATACCAGTTTTTTGTAACACCATTGTAAAATTGACTGCGGGATGCTACAAACTGGCATAATTACAGTGGCACTTGAAAAAAGTGACTTAGGACTGTTTTTCACCCTTAATGACCATTGGAGCATCCCATGGTCATGTGATCAAAATTCAGATGCTTGGATAACATTCATATTTATGACGGTTACAGTGTCCCTGGGGTCATGTGATCCCCTTTTGCAACCTTCTGACAAGTATAGTCAATGCTGGAAGAAACCAGATTCATTTAATAACCATGCTACTGGTGCTAGGTTTAACAACTTGTGATTCACTTAACAATTGTGGCAAGAAAGGTCGTAAAATGGGACAAAACTCACACAGCAACAGAAATTTTGGGCTCAGTTGTGGTCCCCCTGCAAACGTTCAGCACTGAACATGTATAAAATAAGTGTAAAATGGGTAATAGAGATTTAGCATGTGTAAAAATTTTTATAAATAAATAGGCTTAAAACTAGATGCTTGCTGAGTATGGCCACTCAATTTGCCCTCAGTGACCCAGAGCAGTTTACAAAGGTAAAATAATACAAAATCCAAGTAACTCCCCACAACCCCTTGGTGACAACACTCTGATAAACCACTTGATGGATTCCATAGCTACCCATTGGCTGAACTGTGTCTTCAGGCCTTGGGAAAGAGAGTCAAGTGGGAGGTCAATCTTATCTCCATAGGGATGATGTCCTGACCAAGGCTTCCTGAGACTGTAATTAAGCACACGCTTAGTCCAAACAACTCTTGTTTTATTTCAACACTGGGAATTATGTTCATTCCCAGCCCATAATGAGTCTCGGGATAAGCACTCACCTTTCTCTCCTTTGAATTGCTGCCAACAACTAAAGTACAAAACCAGCTGAAGTACGAAGTCCACACAGAACTTCAAGGTTTAATCCGAACAGAGCGAACAACTTTGCTTCCTGCAAAGGTTTCTCTACATTTGCACTTCCTTTATACCTTATGGGAGGGGCAATCAACATGTCCACAAATCTGAGACACATGGACAAAAATCTGAAATAAATTAACAAGGCTGTTCTGAATGGTGCGGGGTCTCCTGCTTGGGCAAGAGGTTGGACTAGAAGACCTCCAAGGTTGCTTCCAGTTCTGTTATTCCATAATTCTGTATGGAAAGAAAGGGGTTTGAAGGGGAGATTTGGGATTGAGTTCAGAGACTAAACCAACATGATGGATCGAGGGATCAAAAGGTCTTTAGAATGTCTTTAGAATCTTTATCCCTTCCATCAAAAACATAATGGCTTGCTGTCACACAACAGTCTCGACCCTATTGACTGTCTTCTCCCAATTGTGAGTAGAAAATGTAGTCAAAGCATCCCCATCCATACTCAACTGGGA